ATTAGCGAGCAAAACAAGCAAATATCAACTGAAGCTTTGGAGGTTTTATTGTTTATGTCCCACCCATCTCTCTAAACTTTGATGTTCATGTCAAAAAGAGCTAGATGCTAAGCAGAGTGAAGGGCATTCTGACTTGGGTTGATCAGGGCTGAACCCCCTAATGGTAAGATAAGATAGTGACAAGGCACTAGACATGTGTTCTACATTACTTGAAATAAACGAAGTATGCAATCTATGTCTGGCTTTAATTTTGCATATTTAATTTTGCATATTGTGCTTATATATAAAAGGTTATCATGTGTACATAATCAAAAGACATGCTTAGAATAAGCGGAAGTAAGGGAAAAATTGATCTAACATGTAGAATCAATGATTATTTGATTTATCTAGAATTTCTATTTCCTATATGCTGACCTTGTAGCTTATGTTCAAGGGAATACTTTGGAGTCAAAATCGGAGAGCTTTGCATATTGTTTTCCCCATTACTCTCATGGTGATGAAGATGATCCTGATGATGGAAAATAATGCCAAAGAAGTTACTTCTCTTACCATCTGTGTAGGTAGGCCTAAAGTCATGTACTACAATGATCACTTTAGTGACACCTCCTAAGCTATTATGGTAAATTGAAATTACATTTAAAACAGTTTTGTAGGATTATTCACAAAGAGCATGAAATGTCTGAGGGTCAGTCAACAGAACACAATTGAAAATGCTCTTTGTAAACCTAGGATTGTGGTTTCATATCGAGACAGCTAGAGAAGCTAGGATCTTTAAAAAAACGGTAACTTCTAAATGACAATGATGTTGACATATTTTCACTATATTATGAAGAATTTATAGATATTTTCTCCCAGAGATAATTTATCTCTACCGTATTATGGCAAAATAATAAAGTCCCATAGAAAGTTGGTTATCCATAAAGAAATGTTATTAAAATTCAACTTTGTTTATGAAAAGCAGTCACCATTCTCAACAAAAAATATTCTTCATATTTTTTATTTATTTATTTTAATGGGAGATAGACTGTCAGTAGTTATTTTACTGCATGTTCAATATTTTTCATTCACATGTCATAGTAGTTTTTAGTTTCCTTTTTGTTTTTTATCTATCTCCCCTCCGCCTTAGAGTTGCTTTTTAGTCTTTTTTAATGTTTAAATATTTTAATGCCTTTTCTCTTCCTTTTTTATTGGCTAGTTTTTATGTTTAGTCATCAGACTATTTTTTAAAAAAAGTTTGGCTAATCTAAACAATCTAATCTTGTCACTGTATGTCTCTCTCTCTCTCTCTGTGTATTCATATTCAGAATGTAAAACTCATATTATTTACTATAATAATATGGATAGCTTATTTATTTATATTTTCATGTCATGAAACTTTTATTGAATGTAACCAAAACTGAATTAAATTTAAATTAAGATTTAAATCTTAACCAGGATTAAAATGACATAGAGAAATAGTTTTTCTTACTCTTTGATAATGGATTCTGAGAACTTTAATTTAAGCCATTAATTATTGTAAACATGAAAAGTTGAGAATTCACATTGTAGGAAAAATTTAGACAATAAAATATTTGATTCCCTGTCTACTTTCAAGTACTTAAGCTTGTCTAAGAAATTAAGAAGGAATCTGACAGATCTGGCCTCATGCTAACAGAAATGTTAGGTTCTTAACTGTGGCCAAGTTAGTATGAGCAATGGCTACAACAAAATATAGGATAAAATTGTGAACTTTGAAGATGTGGAAAGGGGACTTCACGAAGACAGTAGTGTCACTCAAACAGGAAAAGCCAAAGGGGAATATCAGGCCAGCCATAAAACAAACTTACATAGGAAAAGGAATCAAATAAAAGGTATTAAAGAATCCCTATAGATAAAAGCTATAGAGAAAACTAGACAAATAAGAAAAGGAAACCCTTACGAACACAGGACATACCAAATAAGCAAAACAAACAGACAAAAGACACACAAAAAATATAAATTACAAAAGAGACAGAAAGGAGATTGCCACCAGACAAATATGAAAATCCATTATAAATCTAAAAGAGATTAGGAAAAAAAAAACACATAATACAATCTAACCACCCCACAGAGTTTGCTTTCCGCACCCCACGGAGTTTGCCCTCCAGCAGGAATAAAGACAAAATTCAAACAGGATTTGACACATTAAGCACAAATACAAACATTCACACACAAAAGGAGAAAAGGGTATAAAAAACCAGGGGCTTACCACACGAAGCTACCTAGTCCAGGAATGCAGACTTCTTGCTGTCCCTCGCCTTCCTGAAAAATAAAAAGATCCAGCTTTCAAGCAGTTGTCCATATCCTTGCACCGGAGCTCTCTCAGCGGGAAAATCGAATCTTCAAAGGAAAGGCATTTTGACACCTTTCAACAAAGGTAACATCAACTTTGCCCTTTTCAAATAGATCTCTTAAAGTTGTTTTCCTCTCTGCTTGTAATAGGGATGGATAAAAAAGCATTTTTATTTTCTTTTTAGTTTCTCAGATTTTTTTCTGTCTTAAGTATAATTTCTCCATATCCACATCATCACTCTGAGATATTTTAAAATGAAAAATGCACCTTAAATTCAGATGCATTTCCATATAACTCTGTATGCTATTTTTTCTAGTATAGGGCATCTAAACACTTTATTTTCATTGTTGAGCATTTTTTTGTGTCCTTTTCCATTATATATTATTATTATCATTATTATTTTAACAATCCACAAAGAACATAAGCTGACTGCTGCATACAATAAGAATGATTTATTGGTAGTACAGTAGTTTAAAAAGAAGAAGTTAGATAACTTCACATGAAATTGTGAAATGGATGAATCCCTCTCTCATTCATAATCTGTGGTGCCCTAATTTACCCATCCACTGATCTCTGCAACATATTGGGCTATTACCTATCTGGTTACATGACTGAGAAACAAGAAACGATTAAATTCAAACAGTGAGATTCAAAAGTGAATAACTTCTGGTAAGTGTTGACTGAAAGGCATACTCAGCCAAGAGAGATGGAAAGATCACTTGAAGGAGTTATAAGGGAAATAAAAGAGATCAGAGAAGGCAAAGACTGATAGCTAAATTTGTTAGTGGAAAATATAGTTCGTTAAACTGTTCATTAATTAAAACACTGTTTCCTCTACTGTAGTATATGATTGCATGTTTTTGACAACATGTTTCCTAAATAAAGAATATCGACCATATAAATTAATTCCTGTTAATTTGGGCACTTTTTCTAATAACATCTTGACTACTTTTTTCCTTAGCTCTGCCATTTTAATTCCTTCTTTTAAATCCTTTCCCCACACTTTCTGAAAATGTTCCTGCTGAGTAGCCAGACACAATGAAATTGTTTTATTTATTTATTTAAAAAAAATCATATTGTGCTAAATTCCTTTTTAAACAATAAACTTTATTAATTTTACAATTAAAACAGACAAACAACACATAGATAAATGTGAAAGAGAAAAAAGAAATAAAGAAGAAAAAGTGAAAAAGAAAATCCAGGAGACAATTAAAAGCTATTTCGTCCTCGACAGTTTGTTGGATCTTATTTTCAACCTTATTTTGTACCCTCTATACTCTTACACCTTGTGCGAATGTATATATATATACATACACTACTAAGATTATAACCTATTTTCTTTTGCCCTTTGTTGTTTACTCGATCTTTGTTCCATCCATTCGTACCAGCAGTTCCAGCTGTCATAATACATTGATGTATCTTTTCCTTTTAATGCCAAAGTTATTTTCCTTTAGTGTTTTGCAATGTGCTGTCAGTCATATTCCCAAGTATTTAACTTTTGTTATCACTTGAAATCCCATGACCTTTTCTAATTCTAACTTCTGTTTTCCTGTTAGATTTTTAGTCATTAATTTTGTTTTCTTTCTATTAATTTTTAATCCTGCAACTACTCCAAATTGTTCTAATTCGTTCATCAGTTTTTGTCCTCTTTCAATTGGCTCTTCAATAAAAAAAATCATGCAAAAAAAAAAAAAATCTGCAAACGCTTGCAGCTTATATTCTTCTTTCTTAACCTTTAATCCTTTTATGTCTGAATTTTGTCTAATGTATGTTAATAATGTTTCCAATGATAATATGAAGAGCAGGGGTGAGAGTATTACTATAGGTGAGAGTGTTACTATAATCACTATTTTAATTTGGCAGGTATATTCCCCATTTATCGTGATGTTCGCCTGTTGTGTATCATAAATAGTAGTTATTTTTGAATTTGGTGCCTAAATTTATATCATAAATTCTTTGGATTAAAAATTGCCAATTCAGGTTATCGAAGGCCTTCTGTGCATCTAAAAACATAAGGGCTATTTGTTTTTCAGGGTGGGCTTCATAAAATTCCAGGACATCTAGTACTATTCTTAAATTATTCCTGATTCAGGTGAAATCCATTTTGGTCTTGATGAGTAAAATCATTCAAAATTCTTTTTAATCTGTTTGCAACAATAGAAGTGAATATTTTATAATCTGTATTTAACAAGGAAATTGCCCTGTAGTTTTGTATATATCGGGGGTCCAAGTCTTCCTTTGGGATCAGCAGTGTCAATCCACCCCTCCATGAATCCGGCATTCTGGCTGTCAATAAGACATTGTTAAAAACTTCCAGCATAAGGGGTCCTATTAGTTCACCTATTGCCTTATATAATTCCCCTGGGATCCCATCTGGTCTCGGAGATTTACTATTTTTCTGGTTCTCTATTGCTGTTTTCAATTCAGACCAAGTAATATCTTTGTTTAATAATTCTTTCATCCCTCCCCAATTACTTTATCTTTCATTTTATCTAAATAGCTTCTTATCCTATCCTCATTGACCTCTTCCTTTTTATATGTCTTCAAAATACTTGTGGGCAATTTCTTTTTTCTGTTCTATCCCCTGTTGTGTATCTCCATTTCCATCTATTAATTGGTAAATCAATCTTTTTTCATTGCCTTTTTTAAGTCTATAGGACAACCATGTCACTGGATTATTAGCATGCTCAAAATAAGTTTGTCTAGTTGAATTCAGGTTTATAATCATTCTTTCTTGTTCAATTGAATTCAATTTGTGTTTAGTTATTGTCATCTGGTTTTGTAGTCTTGAATCCTTTGGTGTATTTTGTAATTGAATTTCTAATTCTTTAATTTTTTCTTGTAGTTTATTTTGCTCAGCATATTTTTCTTTATTCCTCTTGGCATTATAAGAGATTGTTATACCTCTTATTACTGTCTTCATTGTGTCCCAAATATTTTCTTTCATAGTTACTCCATTGTTATTTTCTTTTAAGAAATAATTTAATTCCTTCTGAAGTTTGTTCATATATTCTTTTTCTCTAATTAACTGCGTATTTAGTGTCCACTTTTTCCTGGTTTTTTTCCTACCTTTCCAAATTATTTGAATTGGATTGTGGTCTGCCCATTCATTAGGTAAAATTTCAATCTCTTTTATTTCATTTCTATTTCCCCATTCATCCATGCCATGTCAATTCGTGTCCATATTTGGTGGGGATTTGAATAAAATGTAAACTGTTTTTTTCTCAGGGTTTAACCTTCTCCATATATCAATCAAATTTAACTCCCTCATCATTTCCATACATGTTTTGGGAAGCTCTCTCTCTTTTTCTGTTCCTACCCCCAATACTGTGGTCTTTTTGATCATCAGCAATAGCATTAAAATCCCCTATGATACAAATCTTTCTTTTTTCCATTCCTACTATTTTTTCATGCAAATACTTGAAAAACTCTTTTTGCTCTCCATTTGGGGCATAGATTGCCACTAAAAGGATTGGGATAGCATTAATCCAGATCTGCAAAACCAGAGTTCTTCCATCAGGGTCCGGCCATATTAGCTGTACTTTCATAGCCACTTTCACATACATTGCAATCCCTTTCTTTTTCCCAGCATCTGCTGGTGCAGTAAATACCTTCCCTAATTTCAGGCATTCTAAATATCTTTCATCAGATTTCTTTATATGAGTTTCTTGTAGGCATACTATGTCAGCATTTTGCTTAATTAGTTAGCTATTGTCCTTTTCCTTTTTATCGTAGAGTTTAAACCATTTATGTTAATTGACAATATTTTCCTTTCTTCTTCCATTATTTAGTTTTGTTTCACTCTTTGTCTTGTAACTACTCCAGTTTCTCTTTGTGCCTGACAGTGTATCCTATCTTCTACTCTCCCCTGGCATGATTGACTGTTTCCTTGATTTCCTAAGACTCCATATCTATTCGTATGTTGGTCTTGATCTTCTTGGGAGTTCGATACCAATTCATCCTTACTGCTCTGCTCTTCCAGGCCTACCAACCAGTCATAAAATTCCTGGGCCTTTTCCATAGTATCTATTTTAATTCTCCTTTCCTCCCACAAAACTAACATCCCCTCTGGAATTAGCCATTTAAATATGATTCCTTTTTTATTTAAGTGGGCCGCTAAAAATTTATAGTCTCATCTTTGATTTCTTACTCTTTTTGGTATTTGTTTGAGTACCAAGACTTCTTTGCCTTTGTACATAATTGATTCTTCTCTTGATATCTTATATATAATGTCCTGGACATTCCTTCTCGCAAATCATATATGGATTTCTCTTGGGCATTTGTGGCATCTTGCGTAATTTGTACTAACTCTGTAGATGCCATCAAACTCTCTCAAGATGTCATCTTTGTCCTTTTCCAATAGTTCCACCAACGTTTCTGCCATTACTTGTTCCAAGTCTTCTTCCCCTAATTCCAATATATTCTGGAATCTCAAGTGTGTAGCAGCTTGGTCCATCTCTAAATAGATCAAGGAATCCTCCATTTCCTTGCTCACATTCTTTAGTTGTTCATCTACCATTTCCAGTTTCCTTTCAGTTCATTCTGTTCTTTTCTCTACCTCTTTTATTGTTGCTTCATTTTTCTCCAAAGCCTGCTGTATTACTCCAACTTTCTCTTCTACATTGGAAATATCTGCCTTCATTTCTGCTTTTAGTTTCCCCATCTCTTCTTTTATATCTGCTTTTGTCTCATTGTGGTTTTTCATCATGGTTTCTTGCAGTTTCGACATTGATTCTTGTAGAGTAAGCAGAATTGCTTGGATATTAACATTCGAGGAGGTGGTTTGTTTCTCCAATGGTCTTGTCTCTTCAATTGTCTTTTGTGCCGTGGGCAAAGGTATTGCCAACATAGTTGTTAGCATCGAGGTGGCCTTTCTTCTGGTTTTCAGAGTTGTAGTTGTAGTTGTTGTAGATGTCATTTCTTTTAAAATTTGTTTTTGTTGTTTTAATATATTGGTTATGTTGTCCCAAATTAACATTCAATGGTAAAAGTCAATAGTATATATTAAAATTGATCAATAATTCAATTAATTAATTAATCTATCACTCTCTTCAGTATCTAAGCTCTGTATATATTTAGTGGGGTGATGTTTCTTATAAGCAGTAATATTAAGCCAGTATATTTTCAAATCTGAATTCGATATCATATATATAATTTATATATAACCTAACCTTTGTTATTAATTGTTACTAAATATCTATACATAGGTTCAAAATACTCCTAATAAACAATATTTAATCCTGTCACTCTAATCTAAATCTTATATAACTAAATATATATAGATGATCTAAAGTACTATCTTTGAAAGATGTTTCTTCTAAATAACTATTTTATCAAACCCTATTATTTTTTCAATATTCTTGATCATACACAACCATATAGTAGCCAAACAGTAAATCAATTAGATGTTCAAGATGATCTGCCCAGTAAATGCAATTATTAATATAAAAACATTAATTATAATCAGTGATTAAATGGTACTTAAAGTTATCCTTATTTCCTTTATCTTTTCTATTTATATAACTGGTAAAAATATAATTATCATTATTACTTGTAAATCAATTAAATCAAACAGAATGCATCACAATTGCAGTAAACAATTTCCCTCTGCCTTGTGTGTGTGTGTGTGTGTGTGTGTGTGTGTGTGTATGTGTATATATATACATATATATATATGTAGATCTTTGGTTGTTCGGGTTTTCTCCCGCGTAAGATTTGAAGTATCTAGGCAACGTTTCGATGAAGTCTCATTCATCATCTTCAGGCTTCTGTCTCCAGCTCTGTGCTTCTCAGAGAAATGGAGATTGCAGCTGCTTCCTTCTTTTAACTGCCAGTGGGGGTGGAACTTGATTGGGTGGGGGCTTGGCTGTGTTCTGATTGGGTGGGGGTGTGTTCTCATTGGTAGGGGGTTTGGCTGTGTTCTGATTGGTTGGGGGGTTAGCCGTGTTCTGATTGGTTGGAGGCGTGTTCTGTTCAGGAGGGGGCTTGGTTGTGCTCAGGTTAGTTTTAGTTGCTGGGGGATTTGAGCTGGAGAGTTGTGATCTTGCTGTTTGGCTTCTAGTTCGTGGTCCTGCTGCATCTTCATAGTGGGTGTTGGTTTGCTTCATGTATGGCTCAGAGGGGTTTGAAGTGGGTAGTGATGCAGCTG